GATCTTGGGTTTGATGGAGGAGAACTAGGGTTTGGTGGGCCAAATTTAAGATTTTTATATTTCATGTTTACAGATGTCTGTGAATGTCTATGGTGTCTGGCGACTAGGGTTCAAAGGAGGAGACGACGGATTACTACACTTTCCTACGAGTGTCTATACATGACTCTGGACTACTACTGTTTCTTATTGGTTTCCTAGTTCTAATAAGTTTTGTCACCAGGAACCTATATTTTAAGGCCCCTAAAATTTATGATACCAATTAATAATTTACATGACCTTTTGTTATTATATTTTTCGTATAAAATATATGGAATTATAAAATATATCATAAAATTATACTATATATTTTGAAAAACCATAGAAATATTTACAATTACAAACAGATCTAAAATTTGAATTTCGGTAATTTTATATATTATTCAAATTTCATTCCAAATAAATTCGGAAGAATGGGAAATCGAAATGAGAAATACATTTATGATATGCCTAATTGGCCCAAGCCAATGGGCCTACAAATTATTTACCTACTGGGCCACGAGCCCAATATCGAAAACCACTATCACCGAGGCCCAATCACCTTCAAGCAAGGTTTGGGCCCGACAATCTCAATTAAGCTATAAATACACATTTGAACTCATTCCATAAGGTACGTCCTATTAACTGAGCAATACTACAATACGTATTCGCTCGACTATTTCTACTATCATCACGTCTGACTTGAGCGTCGGAGGGGTTTCCGCCGGATCAACCCCCGTCTTAGTTCATGTGTGCTCATTTTGCAGGGACCTCAGGATCATCAAGTTGTCAAGCTAGTGATCTGCTTTGCTCTCCCAGCTCATTTTCTACACCACCCTAGGTGAGCTACATATTAGCATCATCATTTTGGCGCCGTCTGTGGGAACGATGCAAACCTGATCACGTAGCCAACAAGATCCTCCTGAGGCGTCTGCTCGGAGAGAAAATGACACAACTAACGACCTCCCACCTCGTGGAGGCTCTGGCTTGCCACCTCCTCCACGTCCCATGGATCCGCCTCGCGAGGTTCAGGTGATCCCCCTCGGGACCCACCACTCGCCGATCCACCACTCCCTGCTCTTCGAATGGTTCAAATAATTGAGGATGCGCTTCAACGCATGATAGCAGAAGCTTCAACTCGCGCTGCCACAGAGGCCGTGACCCAATATATCGCCACGATGGGAGCAAATGCTCCCAACGCGATACCAGCACCTGCTCCATATGTGGAGCCACCTCTGGCACCACCGCCATCGACTCCCTGGGGGCTTACATCTGCCCCCAAAATATTTCGCTCGCCAAGGGTTATCGACTCCCTGGGGGCTTACATTTGCCCCCAAAATATTTCGCTCGCCAAGGGTTATCGACTCCCTGGGGGCTTACCTCTGTCCCCAAAATATCTCGTTCGCCAAGGGTTATCGACTCCCTGGAGGTATACAGTGCCCCCAAAACATTTCGCTCGCCAAGAGTTATCGACTCCCTGGGGGCTTACATCTGCCCCCAAAATATTTCATTCGCCAAGGGTTATCGACTCCCTGGGGGTTTATAGTGCCCCCAAAATATTTTGCTCGCCATGGGTCATCGACTCTCTGGGGGCCTACTTCCGCCCCCCCTCGAACGGTTCAGATAACCGAAGAGGACCTTCAACGTATGATCGCCGAAACCTCAACAATATCAACTTCTACTTGCTCCTCTAACGGTTCAGATAACCGACAAGGACCTTCAACATACGACCGCGAAAGCTTCAACTCGTGTTGTCACCTCAGACCATAGGTCTCGAGCGCCTCATCCTACAGTGGGTGGTTAACCCATCCCAAGGTTGGGCATCACCTTTACCTTTCAACCCCAAGTGGGTTCACATCACATCGCAAGAGACGAGTATAATCTTCCTACTCAAAAAATAGAACATCCCAAGAGGTCCACATCAACCACCAAAATGAAAAAAAAAGGGGGGTAAAATCGCGCACGCGAGACCCCAGAAAAAGATGAAGAAAAAAAAAAAAAAAAAGAAGAGAAGAAGAAAGGAAAAGAAAAACTAAGAAGATGAAAAAACAGAAGAAAAAAGAAGAAGATAAAAAAGAAGAGAAGAAGAAAGAAAAAGAAAAAATAAGATGAAAAAATAGAAGAAAAAAGAAGAAGATGAAAAAAGAGAAGAAGAAAGAAGATGGAAAAATACAAGAACAAGAAGAAGAAAAAAGAGAGTAAAAGAAGAAGAAACAGAAGCAGAAAGAAGAAGATGAAAAAACAGAAGAAGAAAGTAAAGATAAGAAGATGAAAAAAAAAAGGGAGGAAATGCAGCCGAGCCGCGCGCGCGGGGCTCCATTCAAAAAAAAAAAAAAAAAAAAAAAAAAAAGGAAGGGCGCGCGTGCACAGCACGCGCGCGTGGAGAACACGCGACTGACGCGCGGGGCGGGTCAGCAGAAGAAAAAAAAAACAAAAAAAAGGGAAAAAGCGCGCCTTCCCATGCACGCGCGCGCCTCCCAATGCACGCGCGCCTCTCCCAAGGCAACCTTGGAGCGCGCGCTCCCATTTAATTGGGCACAACTTTTACTACTTTCCACCAAATTGAGCGTAGATTTCACCTCGCTTCACCAAATCGCGCGAGAATTTCAACGCGCTCCACCAAATTGCGCGAGCTCTTCAACGCGCCTACCAAATCGCACTCGCTATCAAACGGATAAATAAAAAATATTATTTCTCCACGCCACGCCAACGATTAAAGAAACACTACAACACCGATCTACTCTCGACACGATCCGGTACCCTTTTCGACGTGGCTCCCACATCGTCTCGAGAGTGGGGGGCTTGCGAGACAACTACCACGAGGAGCCAACTCGCTCAGTACTACCACCCGCAGCGAGAGAACTACCACGAGGAGCCAACTCCCTCGGGTCTCATACCCACAGCGGGACAACTCCCACTAGGAGACCACTCGTTCCGTCCTACAACCCGCAGCGAGACAACTCCCACGAGGAGCCAACTCCCTCGGGTCTACGAAACCATAGCGAGATAACTCCCACGAGGAGACCACTCGCTCCGTCCTATAACCCGTTGCGAGGTAACTCCCACGAGGAGCCAACTCCCTCGAGTCTCATAACCACAGCGAGATAACTCCCACGAGGAGACCACTATATAATCGCAAGCTCAAGTTAGCACAATTACAACCCTAGAAGCACTTAGCGATATTATGAGAATCTATATAGCCTGGCCAGCTTGATTACTCAAATTTATCTACTTGTTTTCGATGGGTCATTCATTAAAACGTGGCCACGGTCCAAACATACTTAAGACCCACGAGGTCTAACAAGGGGCACGACCCCCATAAAAAAAATCTTGAGAGTCTGATCCCCTCCTCAAGTACATCACGCACAAGGCTATATGTAAACACATATAAGCAACGCGTCAAAACATTGACAATGCCGAAAAATAACAACTCCCACGAAGAGAATACTAGCTCCGTGCTACTACATTATCGTGAGACAACTTCCACGAGGACATAACTCGATCAACTCTATTACCCCAGTGACAACTCCCACGAGGAGATTACTTGATCCGTGCTACTACATTATCGTGAGGCAACTCCCACGAGGAGATAACTCGATCAACACTATTACCCCGCGACGAGACAACTCCCACGAGGAGATAATTCGCTACTCCATCGTCGCGGGACAAAACCGACGACTCAATTAACTTACGTCGCGACAACTTGGTCGCGCTATGCACCAATGCGCATTCACGCTCCTCCGACACACGCTCCAACGCGTTATCGCACACCATCGACTACTACAATTTTTACTCTCGACACGATATGTCACCCATTTCAACATGGCCCCCACATCGACTCGAGAGTGGGGGGCTTAATGATATGCCTAATTGGCCCAACCCAATGGGCCTACAAATTATTTACCTACTGGGCCACGAGCCCAATATCGAAGACCACTATCACCGAGGCCCAATCACCTTCAAGCAAGGTTTGGGCCCGACAAACTCAACTAAGCTATAAATACACATTTGAACTCATTCCATAAGGTACGTCCTATTAACTGAGCAATACTACAATACGTATTCTCTGGACTATTTCTACTATCAGCACGTCTGACTTGAGCGTCGCAAGGGTTTCCGCCGGATCAACCCCCGGCTTAGTTCATGTGTGCTCATTTTGCAGGGACCTCAGGATCATCAAGTTGTCAAGCTACTGATCTGCTTTGCTCTCCCAGCTCATTTTCTACACCACCCTAGGTGAGCTACATATTAGCATCATCAATTTAAAAATTCGGATATTTTCGGATCGAAATTGGCAAATTTCAAAAATTTCATTACGATTTTGACCCATAATTGTATCTAATAGAATAACTCACTCCCAATTAAGTTTTCCGGTGTGAACCGCCGCCGGACTAGTGTGTGTACACAGTGTTGACCAAAAATCCATAAATAATAATAAATTAATAAATGAGAGAAATCACGAAACATGAAAAAACAGAATGATGTGAGTCACCGGCCACCAATAAAATCCACCACCCCCAACGTCTCAAATAATTTCCACATTAAATACTCCATAATTGCCTGTTTTAATAATTACCAAATGAACAAATTAAATCCCTTTATTTCATGTGTTTTCCGGGTTACGTTTTCTTTTTTTATATTTGGAAAAACACAAGGCCCTGATTGATCTGGTCCCTACACGTGTCAACATCTTGAGTGGTTAAATGGCTTTAATTGACTGCTTTTAATGAAAGTTAAAAAAAATCAAATTCTACCCAAAAGACTAGGGATTTTTCAGTGAAGACTTAGATGATTGGACCATCCTCTGGAGGTTTTAGGCTCTTCTTCCACCCTCAACTTGGAAAACAACAAGCACATTTTACTCGCACCAAATCTTTCAAACGAGAATAGTATTAAAGTTTAAAATATTTTATCACAAATAATTTGAATATACTTGTTCAAAGGAAATGGGATTATGTATGTGGAAAAGCAAAAAAACTAGTTTGTGAATAAACAATGATTTACAAAATCCTACACTAAAAGCTCAGTGTTATAACTTAGAACATATCCTCTACTATACAAAACTATAGCTGAAACAATCTCAAAAAATTAAAATAAAATGGACAAAGAATCATCATGTATTATTTTGGTTTAATCAAAACTTCAATCCGAAACAATGGAGATTTGACCACTAGAAATGCTGCCATGGCTATTATCTTCACAAAGCAGAGCTAAAGCTCTCTCCAAATTAGCAACAATGTCACTCATGCTAGGCCTATCTTTCCCTTCCAAATGCACGCAATGCATAGCCGTATAAGCCACCAATTCCACCGCCTCCGATTCATTATCCTCAACCGGACCAATCCGAGGGTCCAGAATCTTGCTCAATTCCCCAGCCATGATCAACGGCACTGCATAGTCCACCACACTTATTGGCGTTCCTCCATCTTCCCCATTCTTGAATATAGCCCTCTTCCCTGTCAAAATTTCCAACAAAACTATTCCAAACCCGTAAACATCACTCTTTGCAGTCAACACGTTTAGTCCATAATACTCTGGATCAATATATCCAACTGTACCCGCAGCTTTTGTCGGCCTATATTCACGATCATTCACCGGACCCATTAAAGATAATCCAAAGTCGGACACTCTTGCGGTCCAATCAGCATCGAGCAAGATGTTTGAAGACTTGATGTCTCTATGAATTATGGGCGGTACAGCATAATTGTGCAAGTACTCAATGCCACGAGCAGCGTCTAGTGAAATCTTTATCCTTATTTTCCAAGAATTCACCACACTAGTGTTGTTTCTGACATTGTTCTTGCCGTGTAAGTGATCGTAAAGCGCTCCATTCTTCATAAACTCGTAAACCAACAATCTTTCATCCCTCTCTTCACAATACCCAATGAGCCTAACCAAATGCTTGTGATGTACACGAGATAAGAAGGCCAATTCCGAGTCGAAAGCACTCTCTTTCTCTTGAAATTTCTTCGTTTTCGGACCAGACTCACTTCTCTTGATAGCCACTTCTTGGCCGTTAGGTAGTTTCCCTTTATAGACAACACCGAAACTACCGGCACCAATCTTGGTTTCCAGTGAAAAGTTATTAGTAGCTGCAGCAAGATCCGAGAAGAAAAACTCCTCAGCCTTGTCTGTGTGTTTCGTAGAAGTTCCACTCCTTTGCCGCCTCATAAGTATGGAGGCTTGCCGCCTAAGAGTGGACGACCGTGAAGGAGGATTGCTACTAGATTGTTGAGCACCACCACCATTAGAGCCAGCAGCAATAGTTGGCTGCACAGAATTATGAATCTTCTTCTTCCCAAAACAAACACCGCTCCACAAACAATATATCAAAGCACAAACACCAGCAAATCCCCCAACAGATCCAACAATCGCAAACGCAAGTAAACCCTTTCTGAGGTTTCCTCTCGAGGGTGAAGAAAGGGATGGACTAATACTAGGCGGCAATGGAAGTGATGGCGGCAAAATTGGCGGAATCGAAACGGGATTATCGCAAGGCCTACAAATATGACCGTTTCCAGAACAGAGTGATTGGGATTCGGGATATAAATTACACTGACAAGGAGTATCAACACAGGGACCTGGTAGAGTCTTCATCAAAGGGAGATGAATACCTAAAGAATAATACTGATTAGGCCAACCAGGACCCCAACATATCATTGTGAAATTGCTTGTCACCAATCCACAACTGAAATTCAAACCTGCAACAATGGATTCGAATGAAATACCATTAGTAATATTACTCGAAAATTCGCTACTTCCATTTCCAATTCCACCCCAGCAAACCACCGTGCGGTTCAATCTTCTGATCGCACAGGTGTGATTTGCTCCGAGGGCCAGCGCCCTGTATTCGTAGGCGGCGGATGAATTTGGGGGCACATTCAACTGGTTGTTAGTGTTGTCTCCTTTGCAAATTACAAATCCTGAATCATCTATTCCACAGGCATGCCTTCCACCGACCTGGATATCCGCCATTGATGAGTTCGCAAACTCCGATTGGATCGCGGTAGAAAATTCATTATCGTCTCCCCAACATAGAACCCGATTGTTGCTCGCTAAAACTCCGCAGGAAAATCCCAATCCAGATGAAATCATGCGAAATTGTGAGTTCCTGTTTGGAATTTGGGCGGATGAATCATCATTTCCTCGCCAGCAGATGGTGTTGTGCTCGGTGGTGGTGGTGTTCCTCAGCGCACAAATTTGAGTGCCGCCAATTGCGAGAGAAGTTAACGGAGCGGAGGCGTTGTTGTATATCCGCTTAGGGGTGAAGGTGGTGTTCCAGCAGAGGAGGCTGAAGCCGCCGGAGCGAACGCCGCATAGGGTGTCTCGGCCGCCGGCGACGGCGTCGAAGGAGATGTTCGGGAGGATGGGTGGCAGTAATTGGCCGTTACTCCAACATTGAATTTGTTGGACTGGTTGCCCCGCAGCTATGGTGCAGACTGTGGTGGCGGAACCGTAGACGACGGCAATGGTGGCGGCGGAGGCGCCGAGGGCATGGACCGACGGCGGCGTATGGGGCACGGCGAGGAGGAATAATATGGTGGCGGCGATGACGGCTGAAAAGGATGTCGTCATCAAAGGGGCGTTATGTTTCCTTGCGAGTGGCCCCTCATTTGCATAGAGCAAGGGAGAGAGAGAAACTCTAGAGAGAGAGAGAGAGAGAGAGGCGAGGTATTTAGGTATGTGGATGTTGATATCGTATGCATATGTTGGTATATATCTATTTGTTTGAGCAAAGTGAAAAATTTTTATTATTATTTTTTAGGAAGAGGTTAGATAGGGAGATTTTTTTATTTCATTTGTTTGGAAAATTTTGTTCGTTTTTCATTCTTCAGTTTATGGGGTCAAATAAATACTTCTCTTGTTTTCGTTATCGATTTCGAAATTCAACTATTTTATATATCACCTAAATTCTTCATTGTGTAATCAATTTAAACATCCGACGTTTTAAATAGTGGAAAAACTAATTAGAACTAAATGACAAGCTCAACTAAACATTTGCTTCACATCATTTATTAAATTCATTCCAAAAATGTCTTTCACTCATTTTTATTTTTTCAATTTACATTCTGCATTTTTTATATAATTATAAACATTTTTTTTTCTTATTTGTCACATTTTTCTGAAAATTACGATTTTTTTTCTTATTTTTGTTAAATAATTCAGCATATTTCAAAAATACTATGGTATACTATAGTGTACTATGTTATACTATGTGTACTATCGTTTTTACACTATTATTATAAAAAAAAATTCTACAATATTATTAAAAATTACAAAACAAAACTTGTTTTTTCGTTTTTGTTAATATTTCGTTTTTTGTTTTAATATTTTATTCAGCAGATTTCGTTTTCATAAGGAGCAGATTTCGTTTTTCGTTTTAATATTTTATTTGTTGTAATACTATAGTAGACTATGGTATACTACGGTGCACTATGGTCTACAACGGTATACTACCAAACCCTAGCCGCCGACAACACACAACCCTCGCCAACCCTAGCAGCCAACAGGCCGTCGCAACCGTAACCTACCAACTTTGGGAAAACCTAGATTTACGATTTTGAACCCAAAGCAAGCAAAATCTCTTGAAGATCAAGATCAAATCTCCACCATAACCACATCCCCGCCGCCATCTCGACCACCACAGCCGGCCGCCATGGCCTTGAAAAGAATCCGCCCCTGCTTATGGTGTGTTTCAAAAGTTTACGATACTTCGATGTCGGCGTGGCATTTTTGTTTGGTGAGTCGAGCAACATATTTGTAAAAGTAATTTCGGATTTGCATGTCGAAGGTGTGAGAAGTTCCAAATTTTTGGAAGTTTCCCAATGGTAAAGTGGAGAATTTGGAGTCCATTGGTGCAAATTTTGTGAAACTGAGTCATAATAATAATAAAACTCGTCTCATAATTTTTTGACTCAAAGTAGGCCCGGCTCACAATTTGTTAAGGTCAACTCAAACAAATCTGACCGAATAATCAGGCTTATGGTAAACCCGACTCAATTACCGGTACTAGTTACGCGAAACTCCATCTGTAATCAAATGTACTCCAAGACAATGGATCTCACACCCTTTTAAAATTAGGTTCCACCTATGATGAAATTTATGCGAAATATTCAAGATAACGTGATTGTACTACTATTTATGTATAATTTATTTTTGCACTTTCCATAAATATGTTAAATCTCACAACTCATCATTGTCTCTACTTTTCCAATTACTATTTTATGTATAATTTATTTTTGAACTTTTTCAATTACTCACCTTTTGTTTTTGTAAATCTCCCAATAATTATTTTATAACAAGGATTTCTTCTATTTCTAAATTTTTTATTGTTTTTGCATACTCACTACCTCCAATTATTGAAAATAATATATTTTATTGTAATTTTAGTTTTCGCTTAATTTTACTTATTTATTATTTCGCGCGATGTTTTTCGAAACATGTATCTAAGATAAACTAATGTCAATATATATATATATATATATATATATATATATATATATATATATATATATATATATATATATATATATAAAATATGCGATGAATAAAAAAAAAAGAGCATAGCATATGTTCTTATCTTAATTTTTCACTTGCAAGTCGATCTTAGAATCTTGTGTGATTAATTTCATGTTTAACCTGGTTTAGTTTATTTAACCTCTAGTTATAGTTATTGATTTAATTGAATCAAAAGAATACAAAGTACTGAATTTTCTTTTCTTTATATTTTGTAGTTTACAACAATGCTAGTACAATTTTCTGTCTGGAAAACAGATTGGAAATAAGACAATCGTTTTTCTTTTCTCCTCAATTGCTGCATAGCTTTAATTTAGGAACGTGGTTTGATGGTTGAAACCAAGACAAGAGATGACCCTCACTTCACAAACAAAATCATTTCTATTAATTCTAATAAATTCGTATAGTTGGAATGCTATGATATAATAACCCCACTCTAAAAAACAATTTTAACTTGAAGGAGAAAAGAAAAAGAAAAAAACCTTGCATATATGACAATGTATCATGTTGCTAGAGAATACCTTGACATAACATAACTAACATTAAGGTTCTGTTTAACGGGATTAAGGAATGAATGTTGAATGCGTTTGTAAATGGCTAAGAGTTGTGACCGCATGCTTCAATTAAGTATATTTGATAACTTAATATCAGTAATGTCCGAATAGTGTTATTTTCCTGTTATACCCTTATTTAATACTGATATTTTATTTGTTAATTAGACTTGATTAATATACATTAGAACCTCGATAAATTAATAAATTCGCTTACATGATATTTTTTCCTGTCCCGAATCGGGTACAACGTGCTAAATTAATAATTTCCTAAATTTATAAGATAATACACATTCGAAAATTTTAAGAAGCCCCATCTAATATCTATATAAAAATAATTATTAAATTACATAGTACAATACATTTTTTTATAGATCTATGAAGGTTCAATAAAATATCATTTCATTACCGCTTGCTTTTCGTTGAAGTTCACATCGCAATAAGTCTCGTCCCTCAGTTTTCTTAACATGGTAACATGGTTAGAACTTTTTGTATAGTTTTTCTCACAACTCAACAAAAAATTGCTTAATACCATTGTTGGTTTCAAAGCTTCCGTTCGAGAAACGAGCTCTATAGTACATAAAATTAATAAAATACGACTTATTTATAAGGATAGTATGTGTAGTCGCCCTATCTGCCAAACATTTATCCCCACATGTCATGTCTAGAGAGTTATATATTCTAAATAAATTCAACAAGCAAACACAAGTAAATAGCATAATGATTAAAACATATAATCACATAAATATATGATCAATAGCATAAACTAAACATAATCGACATATGAATATGATTCGAAACATGAGCATATAAATCCAATAAAATGATAAACTAGAGACATATAATCATAATTTTTTTATTTTATGAAATCAAAAGTTCAATCATATCCCAATATGTGTCATTTGGTTAGATGTGCCAAAATATGAAAGTTGAGCGACGGGCTACACATTGAAAACATTAGCATCTACCAAGTTAATCTATGCTGGTGCATTATTATTTGCATCTCCAGCCACAACGTTCCTCGCACTACATGTGCGTGACCAATGCTCAGATCCAACACATATAAAACATATATCTATGTTATGATTTTGAGCTCGATTCGAATTTTAAAGTTAATATACAAATCGTTCATTAATTCACTTGTTCCTTACTTCAGGCAAGTGTATGACTTTTTTGGTAATCAAAACGACTAGTCAGTGTATCCCAGTATTTCAGGAGACCCTCGTTCGATAAATAGCGCAAACGAATGACTGCATTTAACTATCTCCTAATCAGAAACAAAGTCTCGGCCTTCTGGGCTTGACTTAATAAATTATCCTCGAAAACAACCGTTCTCAATTGCTTACTAAGCGTATGGATCTTAACTCTCATTCTCCAACTAATATAAATTTTACTAGATACATTAAGTCGGTAAATTCGAGTTTGCTCATGTGTTTCATCTCAAATCAAATACATTATGGAGGATTATTGTTTTATGGGAATGTAATGTCCTTAAACAATTTCATGAATATTTTTAACTTATTAGAACTTCCGGATTAATAATTCATATACCACATGTTCATACACAATCATGAATTTCATAAGATAAACCATAACGACTAACGAAATATTGCTTACCATTTTTGTATCACAAAATTACATATGGCAGATAAATAATGGATCAATTGAATAGGATTCTCCATTAGAGATAGACCAAAGTCTTCATACCATTAAGACAATGAAAATTTGCCAAACATCAAAGACATAACTTGCTCAATAGTATTGGTATAAAAGATAATCTAAACCATATAACTTGCCATGATATAAATCATAATTATCATGTATATATAACTCATACAAATTTCATTAACCAATTTGAAATGACTGAGATAGTTAATTACCGATTAACTAAAAAGATACATAATAAAAATCTATACAATCACATTGGGCATAAGTGATAATACGTATAGAGCATGAGACAAAATAATATATCACCAGATTTCATTACTTTCAATCTCAAACATTCACAATATCACATATAACAAAATACAGAGAATCATATAGCGTGATTCAAATGGTCAAATTAATGACAATATTTCATACTTTAACATGCAATACTTTTGCCCAATAATAAGATATCATTTTACTTGCTCTGAGCAGTTATTATATTTTGTCTAAATGCCCTCCATATACATTTTTTATCAATGCCATCCATTGCACTATAACTTCATCAATATTACACATTGACCCCGGATTTGAACAAATATAACAATAACCCCATTTTCATAATTTTTTCTAAAAAAATTTTTCCGGCCAGATTCCGGCGTTGAAATTTTTTTTTTTTTGAAAAAAACCCGGCCAGTCAACCTCGGGTCTCCGGTGTTGAATTTTTTTCCCTCTCTAAATTTTTGTGTTAACAACAAAATTATTGTCTGAGATAGTAATATTGAATACCAAAATAATAATATTATTAATATTATTATCCCAAACAGTAATATTACTGTGCTGAACACTAATATTACTGTCCCGAACAGTAATATTATGAATATACTTTCATGAGTTACAATATTACTAATATTATTGTCCCACAAAGTAATATTATTGCAAGAGACAGTAATAATATGGTCG